GTTATTTTTCTAAAGTATATTATTTTAGTTTTTTTTTAATTTAATGTAATGATTAGATTATGAATTAATGTAATATTTGTCTATGGGTAGTTGTGTGCACTATGTGTGGAGTGAGTCGTGTAATTTATTTTTTAAAAGAATTAATATTTTTTTGTTTATTTATTTAATTATTTTTATTATTGCAATTTGTAACTTGTAAATGAGTTGATTGTTGATCATTGATTTAATAATAGTTTTAATTTTTAAGTATATATTTTTTATACGTATTTGCAGTGAAAGTCTTTAATTATGCTTGAAAATTTGCATTTGTGTTGTTCTTTTACTTTCTGGACTTCTTATGATATATTAGAATTTTATAAATATTCAGGTGATATTGTTTTTTGTTTGTTTTTATATATCTTATTAGTTGTTCTTTAAAATTGTTATTTGATAGGATGTTGACGAAAAAATATTTATCAAATAGTGAAAAAAAATAATTTATAGAATTACAAAATCAGCTATTGACATATTTTTAAATAAGATCATAGGTTATACATGGCCTCGTGCATACCATTGCATACATCAAACTTCCAACAACTGAATCATAAGGAACTTTTTTCATCATTTCTTTCTCTTCATCGGTGGAAGGACTATGGTGAGCACGAAGCTTATGGCGAGTAGCAAGAGGAGAACTAGTCACTTTAGTTTTGTTCAAATTGAAACTCTCTAGAATTTTCTCAATGTACGATTCTTGAAATAACTGTAGTCTTCTGTTTGCTATATCGGAAGACGTTGATGCCCAAAATTTTTTTGACTGATCCCAAATCCTTTAAGGCAAAGGATTTGCTCGATTGCTTCTTCAATTTGTCAATTCATGAAGCATTTTTACCAACAATCATAATATTATCAACATAAAGCAACAATATGCATAAACACACAATGATCAGAAGTAGTCTTACAGTAGCCTTGCTCCCCCATAAGCAACTCAAATTTTTTATACCACAATCTAGGTGTTTGCTTTAAACCGTAAAGACTTTTCTTTAGTTTAAACACAGTCTTTTTTCCCCTTTGCTTCAAAAACCTTCAGGCTGCATCATGTAGATTTCTTTATCGAGTTCACCATGAAGAAAAGCCGTTTTTATATCCATCTGTTCAATCTCCAAATCATGTCTAGCTGCTAAGCCGAGAACAAATGGAATAGAAGACATCTTAACAACCGAAGAGAATATTTCATCAAAATCAATCTTTTTTTCTTACCGAAGCCCTTCACAACTACTCTAGCTTTGAATCTTGGTTGTAAAGTGTGCTCTTCTTGCTTCACTTTATATACCCATTTATTTTTCAAAGTATTCTTTCTTTTAAAAAGATTTACTAGTTCATACGTGTTATTCTCACGCAAAGACTTCATCTCTTCTTGCATAGCCTCCAACCACTCATTTTTTTGTGAGCCTTATATTGTTTCTTCATAGCACTCTGGTTATCCCGAATCAGTCAAAAGCACATATTGATATGGATTATACAACTTAGAAGGTACATGAGCTCTGCTGCTTCTTCTAAGTGGTTCCTGGCCTGGTCTAGAACCTCTAGCGGTAATGTGTTTGTATTCTCTATCTCCTCAGATGGAACATCATCACTACTATCCAAGTCTATCAAATCATCTTTGACTTTAGGAACTGATTTATTCATTTTCTCAATGTTCTTTATCGTCTGGTCCTCAACAAACACAACATCTCGACTTCTAATAAGTTTATTCACCACTGGATCATAAAATCTGTAGCCAAACTCATCTTGTCCATACCCGATATATACACACTGTCGATTTTTCATCTCAAACTTAGACCTTTCATCTTTGGGGATATGCACAAATGATTTACATCCAAAGACCCGCAAATGATCATAGGAAATATCCTTCCTAGACCAAACCATATCTAGGACATCAAATTTTAGTGGAACACATAGTGTAAGGTTTAAAACATGCACAACAGTACATAAAGCCTCACTCCAAAAAGATATAGACAAACCTGCTTCGGACAGCAAACATCTTACTCTCTCAACTAGTGTTTTATTCATCATTTCAGCAAGTTTATTCAACTGAGGAGTCTTTGGTGGAGTCTTTTGATGTCGAATATCTTCCTTCTTGAAATACTCATCAAAAGGACCAATATTCTCCCCACCATTATCTGTTCTGATGCATCTTAACTTGTTTCCAGTTTGTCTCTCAACCAAGGCCTGAAATTGCTTGAAGACATCAAGCATTTGATCTTTCGTTTTTAATGTGTAAGTCCACATCTTTCTTGAATGATCATCTATAAAATTTACAAAATAGAGAGCACCACCAAGAGTGTTTTTTCTCATAAGACCACAAACATCATAATAAAATAAGTCAAGTGTACCTGACGCCCTAAAATGAATTGACGCCTTGAAAGCCACTCTAGTTTGCTTTTCCGCCAAACAGTGGGTACACTTCTTCAAAGATGCATTTTTCAAGTTAGGAATGAGCTTTTCTTTCTTTAAGATTTTCATTCCCTTCTCACTAATGTGGCTGAGTCTGTTGTGTCATAGCTCAATTCTTCCTTCATTCACGACCGAATTTATAGATCGATCAAGTAGCTTGGCTTGCATTAAGTATAATAAAGAATACTTTTTGCCTCTAGCAATAACCAAAGAACCCCTTGTGAGCTTCTACTAACCATTAGAGAACGAGTTACAAAAGCCTTCATCATTAAATTTTCCAACGGATATATGTTCAACCGAGACCAGGCACATGCTTAATATTCTTCAAAACCAATGCAGTACCATTACTAGTCTGCAAACATACATCTCCAACACCAATAGCTTTAGCCAAGCTATCATCATCAATCCTAATGTTTCCAAAGTCACCCGACGTATAGGATGTGAACATATCTCTCCGAGATGTGGCATGTATAGATGATGCACCACTATCAATCACCCAACTACTCTTATGGTATGCAAGGTTGATAACTTCATAATCACGGAGGATAAGAAAATCACATGTTGCAGTAGATACTCTATCATCATCATTTCCATCTTTATGCAACTTTTTTTTTCTTTTTATCCTTCTTTCCATCTTGCTTGGGTTTTCTACAGAGCTTCATTATGTGCCCGGGAGTGCCGCAATTTCAACACTCAATCTTGCTATATATGTTGGATTTACTTCTGTCTTTTGGCTTGCCTTTTAGACCTCTACTTTTACTTCTCCCTCTTCTTTCGGTGACCAAAACCTGTTACTGATGAGAGCCTTATGATTTTCTTCTCATTTCTTACCCTTAACCAAGTCCATTATAATGGTACCATTAGGGGATGAATTTTTACAAAGATGTTCTAAAAGTCTCCCAAGAATCCGGCAATGTGCCAAACAACTATAATCCTTATACTTCATCTTCAAAATTTATATTCATTCCTGCCTGTTGGTTAAAGATGTCTTGAAATGAATTCAAGTGATTAGTCATAGGGATGCCGTCTCTGTATTTCAAATTCATCAACTGCTTGATTAGGAATAATTTATTATTTTTAGTTTTCCTTGCATATAATTGCTTCAACTTCTTCCATAGTGACCGTGCATTTGTTTCTCCGCTAACATGGTTCAAAACATTATGATCCACCCACTTCCTGATGTAACCACATACTTGTCGATGCATGATATTTCATTCAACATCACTTTTACCCTCAAGCTTGTCGGTTTCGAAAATTGGTCGATAGAAATCTTTCACATATAGAGATCCTCCATCTTTTCCTTCCATACATGATAGTTTGAACCATTAAGATTCACCATTCTACTTGTATTCGTTTCCATATTCACCACAAGAAATAAGACAGAAACCTCGCTCTAATACCACTTTGATGGGACAAATATTCGTAAAGTACGAATTATCCCCCTTGTATGAATCTAGTAAGAAACAATAACAATAGAATAATCACGCCGAAAGAAGTAATGCAACCAATCAACAAGGACACGAACAATTTAACGTGGAAAACCTCCTCGATGTGAGGAGTAAAAACCACGGGACCGAAGTCAACAAAATCTCCACTATAATCAAAAAGATGTACAAATCGTTCAACACAAAAATCAATCAAGTTCCAACTCACAAGATACAACATCAATCTTGTTAACGAATATATGAGTGAAATAGAAAACTCACAAAAAGTATCCTTCTATTCAGACCAAAATACTCGATGATCCAAAGGTTTGATCATGACCTCCACCGTTCATAATTTACTCCATGATGTCCCCAACAACATACTCAACTTCCAGCCTGATCTAACGGTTAGATCTTCCGATTCGATATCAACACTGAAATTGGTCCGACATAACTCTTAATTTAGTTGCGTAATTGACAGAGTGACAACTCCAATATGACCTTATTAGAACACTTGTTTAGAGTGTCTATCAAATAAATATTCAGATATTGTTATATAATCATTAGATACAACTTTTAAATGCAAACTTAATCCATCAAAACTAACGGGTGTGTTTCTTTAGGTAAGTTTAAGAAAAATTAATTTGAGTTTGGATTAAATTTTAATTTTTACGTGGCTTTGAATTTGTGTTCCTTTATGTTAGTAGTTTTGGTTTAGGGTTTAGGGGTTTTGATGAGTATGTATTAATTGTGTTGGTATAAAATATAATATAGAAATTGGGTTATATTTTAAAATTAAAAAAAAAATTAATGAAAATAAATCGGTTCTAAAAAAAAATGATTGGATTTTGGAATGTTATTTTTTAGAGAAAATATATCAATGGATAAATCTCTAATTAAAGGTTGTTCGAACTCATCTTTACAAAGCATTCATCGTATATACGTCTATACAACCGTGAAGAACACTCTTGAACACTTGATTGAATTCCGAGACTTGTTTCGACAATTGTGTTAAGAAGGAATTTGAGTTTCCAATCTAAAATCAATTGGTGATAAATGAAGTGGTTCTTCGCCTTTAACAGTGTGGGACAATATTCAAGAAACTCAACTTAAAAACAAACTTAATATAAATAAATACATCAGTTTTAAAATAAAAAATTGTACAAGGTGCAATTAATTTGAATCAATCACACACAAAATACATAAGAGAGTAAGTACACATACATACTTTAGACAATTGAAAACCAAACAAAGGAACAAAAGGAAAGGTGATCTTCCACCAATCCAATTCCATTCCCATTCCTCTCCAACACGACACAACACAACAAAACAAACAGTAAATAGACAAAACATTTATACCATATCAAACCAGATCAGATCATATCAGCTGCTGCTGCAAAACCTGATTCTTGGAAACATTCTCCCCTCGTACCTTCTGCTGTTCTTGCTGCTGCTGCTGTTGCTGCTTCTGCATCTCAATAAACCTATTCATTCTTTCCAGCAGCTGCGCCGCCTTCCGCTTCCCCCGTTCCGTCCCGTGCTGCGCCAGCTCCTGCAGCGGCCCCATCACCCCCATCTCGTGCGCCTCCGCCACGTGCTGCCTATGCTCCCCCGAGCACAGGTGCACCATAACCGCCGCCGCGTTCTCCTTGTTCCGCGCCGACCCGTTCCTTATCACATCCACCAGCACCGGCACCGCCTCCGCCGCCCCGATCGCCGCCTTCCCTTCCGGGTGCCCGGCGAGTATCGCCAGGATTGCCAGCGCTTCGTCCACCATGCCGCCCTCCGGTTCCGTCAGCAGCCTCATCAGCGTCGCAACGACTCCCGCCCGCACCGCCTTCCCCTTGTTGCCCTGGTAAATGCACAGGTTGAAGAGCGCCGTCGCCGCATCCTTCTTCCCTCTCTGGGTACCCTCGCTCAGCAACATCACCAGCGGCGGGATCGCGCCCAGGGCGCCGATCGTCACCTTGTTCTCGTCGATCACCGAGAGGCTGAACAGCGTCGCGGCCGCATTTTCCCGAGCCTCCATGCTCCCCTTTCTCAGCACGTGGACGATCCCGGGTACTGCCCCACAGGATATGATGCTGCCCTTGTTGTCCTCGCATATTGAGAGGTTGAGGAGTGCCGTGACGGCGTGCTCCTGCGTCCGGGAGTCGGGGATCGATAACAGCTGGATAAGCAGGGGGATCGCACCCGCCTCGGCTATTGCAACACGGTTATCTGCGTTTCGTTTCGCAAGGAGGCGGATTTCACCGGCTGCGGACCTCTGGTCTTCAGGGTTCCCGGACGTGAGCTTGCCGAGAAGGGCTTCGATTTTGCTACGTTCAGCGGGGGAGCACGCGGATCTGCTCTTCGCGGCATGGGAGCTTCCTTGGATTTTCGGCGGCTCGATCCCGTTCGCTTCGCACCATTGGGCTATGAGACTCCGGAGGACATAATTAGGCGTAATGGCGGTACTCGTCAACGTCTGCTGCGTCTTTGGGCACGTGTTGTGCCCGGCTTCGAGCCATTTCTCAATACATGACCTTTCGTAAGTCTACAACAGAAAAAAATCGATCAAGTTTTAGAAATATCGAGTGGAATCCACAGCTGAATTGGGAAAAATTAAAAACATATAAGACCGTACCTGCCCAGTCGAGACAATGACGGGATCCTTCATCAACTCTAATGAGATGGGGCAGCGGAAATCATCTGGGATGACGAGGTTTTTATGACTTCCCTCGGCGGAGCTGCTACTTGCAGGGGCGGACTTCTCAGAATCAATGTTCGGGTTTACAGTCAGGACGAAATCCTTAACTTTCTTCAGCAGCATCGACATCTTTTCAATGCTGTTCTCACGGTCCTCGCCGGTAGCAGAAACCATCTCATGCAAAGCCAGTGATTCTTGAGTTAGATCAGATATGCTGCCTAGCTCCAGTTTGTCGACCAATTTTCGTAATACATTGGGATCTTCACCACAGTCGCGATTCTTGTTGTAAAGGTATAAAAGATCCTCGTACAGCTCAACATCTGGAGCGTCGACCCTCCCCTTGGCTCTTCTGAACTGAGCAAGGACGAGCTCCACCTGGCAATAATTAGAACAGTTTTACCAAACACACAGTAACCTTTTTTCTTGATATACTACTTTGTGATTCAAATCTTTTAAGTTCCGATTCTGAGTTTATTAAGAAACTCCCCTAGACAACACGAGCTTTGACGATGATTTACAATAACTACGTTGTTATGGTAGAATGAGGGTATAAAATCTAGACCAAATGGACAGTATGTTACCTGCTCCTTCACCTCATCTGATATGTCGAGTTTCTCGAAAGAAATGCTGCTAAGGGCCTGCTCCAATTCTGTCGTCACTTCTTGGAATTGGGTCAGGACTTTCTCCCTCTCTAAGACCTGTGTATAGAGAAACCGTTAGGAAAGATACAGTACCATAGTAGCAAGAAATTGGCAAGTGAACGAACAGAACCCCCTTTTGGCACTCATAGAACATTTACACTAGACATAAAACTTGTTTTGCCTCCTACAAAGAGACAAATAGATTCAGATTTCAATCATCAAGCAATTACCATCTCTGCTCAAATTTCACACCATTCAAAGTTTTTTTTAAGTCTAAAAAGCATAAAAATGATCAAATGAATTTACATGGCTTGTAACTTTGTACACCATAGAAACACATCCTAAAAGAAACTGTTGTCAAACATAGCGTTGCTTTCTCATCATCAACCTGCCTGTTCTAAATGTTACACCAATGATTTTTATAAATTCAAGCATGAGAACAAGGGATTAATCGGCGGAAAAATTCAATCAACTATGGCTTATTTAAACAATCTTTTACCTCAACTCCACAAATGTAATCAAAGAAAAAAAGGACGAACTATTGTTTTAGTATAAAGAAAGGACTAGTAGCAACTAGCTACCTATTATAAGATTATTTCATAACAAGCACAAAAAGACCTCAACCTGGCAACACTTACACTGGTTCGAGTTTTCTGTGCTTTAAGTTTAAGCACACATGAGGCACCATTCAGAGTGAAATTTTCATTCTATTTCTTACTCTGAATATGGTCTCCATCTGAAATATATTATTAGATAAAACAAGAGCCATATCTGAAAAGACAACTTATGCCACAAAGAAATAAGAGAGAAAAAGAACTAATGTAGAGCTAACATATATGCATGCACTTAGGTAGTTCCGTGCGCCGAGGAGAATAGGCTGTTTGAGAAAAAATTTCTACTGGGTCGAGTTAACAGTACAAGAAACAGAATTATATTGAATTTAAAATTGAATAGCTAAAACCATGGATGCATACAGATGCATGCAAGCTTTGATAAATTGACTTATAGCTATTACAATGTACACTACAGACATACATATTCGCATACGTAACTTCAGATCTCCAAGAAAATTCAACAATAGTAATAAGTCTTGTGAAACATCTTCAACTAATGTCAATTAATGAGCTTTTCATGTTTTAGGTGTTTCAGAACAACAAAGATCGTTTGTTCTCTCTTCAAGTGTCCATCAATAGCAAGAGATAGCTAGAAGTTTAAAATGTAACTGTATCATCCAAAATGTCGATGCCCAACTCATACAAAATTTTTCCTCACATCTGCACAATAATTTGAAAAACCTCATCAATCACTTACTTCTAAGTGTCTTCTCCACCGATATCGAACTTTCTAACTTAATGTAATATGACGTCACTTAGCATATTTCCTTTTTGTTACATATGAATATCTCCACCAGATCCTTCAAATCCCTCATCCAAGATTTCAGAAAATTAACCATCTCTCACGAAGAATCCCTATAACATGTCTTTCCCACTGTTATTGGACCAAATATAAACATTTACTACAGACGTACTTGCAAGATCGCCCATAAAATGCTCAGAAAAGAGCATCAACTATGGTATACTTGGTAGTTTCCAAATGAGGAAGGAGCCACTTCTCCTGCTGATATCACGTATATTCGCCCAATATCGAATCAAAAATCAGAATCACCAATGTCCACTGATTGTATAGGAGATTAGCTGTCAAAGCGGCGGTTGCCATAGAGTTCGTCCAATTAACTTATGCGTCGAGAGGACCAAAAAGTGTACAGATGACGACAGCATCAACTCCCTTAACATGAACGAGATACTTCATAATTAATAGCAAGAATCATGTCCCTCATTTCATACTCCTTTCACATTCGATTACATATCAACAACAAAAACCAACATCTACACTCGGCATAACATACATCACATAGAACACACATGTAGTTAAGAAAATGATGACATAGCTTGCGCCGGTATTCCATGTGAAACCAAATTTGGCTCGAGAAAACGCAATTCACTGACTTTCCAATGCCAATCCCCTTAAATCCCCAGAGCAGTGAACAATAGAAAAACTCATGGAAAAGTTCAACTCAAACAAGTTTCCACTATTAAAGTCGAATTTTCTATAAGCTCTAAAACTACTTATTGTTTCCTTCCCGGAGACTTAATCATCCAATATCTAAAGACATCACAACCTGACTAATCCACACCCAACCCATGTCGTGGCTCTTCTTTAGGGTGAGCATTTTTGGCAGCCCCAAAAGTAAGACCTTACAGCTATCAATACACTTATCAACTGCCACGCCATTCAGTTGCTCTAAGACAAACTCGATGTTCTCAATTTGGTTCCCACAACTTCCAGCCAATTCTAAACAGGTCATTCCTACCCACAAATATACACAAGTGTTCTTCACAAAGATTGAGAAAAGTGAAGTGATGCTTAAAACTAGCACACAATTTAGGATAAATGCTATGATCTATATAGTTAAAAAAACACGCAGAAACGAAATGGGTAAACAGATCAAAAAGGAAAGTGAAGGAAGAAAGGCATGGCAAATAGTCAAGCCGAATGATCTATCAAAAAGCTGCATCAATTTGGTAAAACTCATGAGGTACTAAAAGTGAAGGCAGCCCATGCCATACCCACCAGATAAATCTTGCTGCCTTCACTGCCGAATCGAAGCATCTCTTTCGCCGATTCGAGTGCCCGCCCCAGCCAAGCCAGGGCTCTGACGGATTCCCCAGGGAGCGCCTCTTTGCCGTCGCGAATTTCTTCGAACATTGGGGTCAACAGCTTCAGACGCCGAGCTAGATTGGTGTACTGCTTCTTCACCGGGCCTCTGTACTCGGAAATCTCGGAGATTTCACCCACAATATCGATTAATTTCCGAGACAACGCGGCTTTTTCATCGTCCATTGCAGCCCAGAGATCTGCGCCCAAATTGAGAGAATATGCGCCGAAAAAAACACTAACCAGGGGGAAACCCCCAAATCGGTGCAAAAACAGCGACCACGAAATCAAGACGAAGGACAGCCACTGAAACTGAGCTTGATGGGGAACTAAACAGGAATTCGTCGCCCGATTTCAAGAATTCTCCATTGGAAGGAAAAAAGGAACAAAACTGGAGGCGTTCAGACTTGACTGGGTGCTCTCACCGTGGGCGGGGCAGATGGGGTCGGCTGGGGGTGTGGGGTGGGGCCTTGTACAGTGGCTCGATTTGCGGCTGTCTGAAATATTAACTACTGCGGTTAAGCGATATTTATTTTACTGTCCGCCATTGTGGAGAGGAGGTTCGGTTAGGGTTAAGCGGGTTTTGCGGGGTGGGTGAAACACAGAAAGTCTCACTCTCACTCTCTCGGTGGATATGAGAAGATTCCTTCCATCAACGATGAATCATCTTCGTTCATTCCATTTCCATTAGTATTTCCATTTCGGTTGCAGTGAGTGAACGAGTGAGTGGGTGAGGGGTTTCGATTTCGGGTGAGTTTGGATGTGTTTGTTAGTGGGATTTTTTATTAAATTTTACTTTTCTTTCCTTATATATTTCTATTTTGACTCATCTAAGTACTTTTTTTTTTTTTAAGTATTTATATATTTTATTTTTTACATATTTTTTTATTATTAAATCATTATTTTTATTTTTAAAAATTAAAGAAAATTATATATATTATTTTTAACTACTTATTACAAATAAAATATTATTTTTTTGTCTTATTTATTATGTTTATTTTTTTATTTTCGTTCATCTCAAAAAAAATTATATACTTTATTTTTTTAAAAATTTTTTAATTTATAATTTTTTAATTTTAATTAGACTAATTAGTTATTTTAAATTTTAATTTATAATTATTTTTTATTATACTAGAATTATTTTCTATAATGTATTCTTAAATTTTTATTAATTATGCATCTTCTAATTCTTGTGTTTGCAGTAAAATGTACATGATAGTCGGGACAAATAAAATATTATTTTTTAAATTACGCGCCAAAGATAAATATATACTTTTAAAATAAAAGATTATTTTATTTTTTTCTAAAAATAAAAATTAATTTTATTTATTTATTTATTATATTATACTTCAAAATTTAAGTTTATATTTAAATATATCAAATTGATGTTTAAAATTAAATAATTCTTTTTATTCAATTTTTTATTATTTAAAACTAAGACCTCATATATATATATATATATTTTTATAATATATAAATGGAAGTTTTGTACCTTTGCCACTTGAATTGACAATGTTATCCTTCAACCTATAAAAAAATGACATATAAATGGAAGTTTTGCCGTGATCGTCCCATCGCCGTTCATCCATCCTTTAGCTTTTCACCTTATATAAAAAAATTTATTTTATAATTTAATTACGTTATAAAATTTAAAAATATTATAACTAATTATTAATTATAAAATACGTCCCACCATAATGGACACTATTTTCATTTTTGTCTGTTCCGTAATAATGGATACATTTCTATTTTTGGTAAAAATTATTAAATAAAAAACATATTTAACAAATATAAATCAACTTAATTAACTACATAACATATAACATCACAATTAGGTATGACCCACTCAAAACCCCTTTATTTCTATCTTTCTTTAAAAAAAATAAATAGTTTTATCTATATTTAAAACTACACATATTTTATAAAATTAATTTATGTTAATTATAAATAAAAAAATATTTTTGTATTTACTTATATTATAGAAAATTTTATTCTCTACAAAATGATATTTATATTACATATATTTTTTAATTGCTATATAATTTTTAAATATTTAAACATATATTTTGATTTTTTTAATCATATATATGAAATTTACTTTAAAACTATAAATATTATTAATTATATAAAAAAATAATATCATAAATAATTATTATTAACTAATTAAACATCTTTATCTTAAATAACGTGTCTATAATCAAAGGATTCAATTTCGGTGGGACGGAGGGAGTATAATTTTTTTATAATTAAATATAGATAAAGTAATACTCTCGCCGTCCAGCTAAAAAATATACATAATTCTATTTTTGGACGTCCAATTACAAAATAAATTTTTATTAAATACTTCACTTTTTTCCACAAATATTCTTACTTTACATCACATCATTACTTTTACACCAAAAAATAAGGGCAAAAATATCATTTTACTACTTTTAACTACCCACTATAATTAAAATACTACTATTATTTCTTAAACACAGCGCCAAAATTAAATGTTTACTTTGCGTGTGGACAGAGGAAGTATATAATATTAGAAATATAATAGTAATTTTATAAATTAAAAACATAAACATATTTTCTTTCCTTCAAAATTTCCTCAATTTTGACAGAACAAGATAAAGTTCATTTTAATGAGCTTTGGTTGCGGATATGGATTCGTCGGCATCCACTTTACTCGAACTTTTGTCAAAGTTCTAGCTTCTGGTTCACGCTCACAATCTGTTCGACAAAATGACTCTTCATCTAAGTTTTTCCTTTCAACCTCATTTTTCACACCACTATCCACTTGTAACGGGTGGGATGGTTTCTCTTCGATCACCTTCCCGTCGGTCTAGAAATTCTTAGACTCCCTCGAGAACTCGCTAGTGCAGCCTCGTACACATCTCTAATGTACGCTAAAGTAAGAACACTATAAATGCACCCGGCAAAATAGAATGTTTTATTAACTCTCAAAATTAAAATGAAGTACTATTTCTTATTTATAACCTGGCGTAGCCTTCACAATATATAAGACAGTAGTCGCCAAGAATCAGTTATTGCTTTCAGATCATTGGCGAAATTTCTCACCTCCAAGATTGGCCACCATCGTCTTCTCCCCCAAAGGAAACTTCAAGCCTTTATGCAGATTTCCGTTTCAATATTTTTTGTAGAATTTACTCACGGTTATTGCTTTTGGGAATGAACGATCGATCAGGCCGATGTGAGGAATAAGATAATCTAGAAGTACAACGGATTGGCGATAGCTCAAATTTGGAATAATGGTTTTACTTTATTCTCAAATTTGATTACGCTAGCACTGGAGTGTGCTGTTGCTATTTTATTTTCAAATTCGATTACGTTCAGGCCGGAGTTCAAATGGTATGCTTGTGATTTTAAAACATTTTTCAGATTTTGAAGCATTTCGTTTTGCATTTTCATTGAACGTGTAATTTTGCACTTCATAACCTCACTAAGTACTTACATTAAGAGCACACCATGCTTACAAAATATATATATATTTCTATGCAGATTTTCTTTAGAACTATGTTTACATGTTAGTCAAAATTGATTTTTAAAGTATATTTTTATAAATAGTAATTTGCACTATGAAGGTGAACCATAGAAGGATGCGAGAAGATGAAGCGGGAGTATTTTCAGCAGCTTATTAATGTTGTTTTCATTGCCATAGCAGTCAACATAGGAGTCTTCTATAGATATATAAAGATAGGTCATGTGGCTGCTAACTTATTTCAATAATACTTAAATTCATATGTTGAATCTTTCTAACAATTACTTTTGACGGTGCAGCCAGAAAACTTTTATTTTGGATGTTGTTGGAAACTTCAAAGTTTCCGATTTCTGATTAAGCGCTTTGTCCAAACAAGTCAGGTTATATATATATATCCAAATCTAAAAATTAGTTTAGTTTTGTTTCTCACATATATTATGGCCCAAAAAGTTTCTTGGGTTAAATTTTATATTTTTGCCTAAGCAAACACACATATTTGTTATCGAACATTTACAATTTGTTTCATTTTTTCCTATGTATACACACATTTAGGGGAAATGACCTTTTTACCCTCAATACAATATCACAAATCATAATGCAATAATATGCGAGTAATGGTGATTTTTCATCCATTGCATATATTGGTTATATTGCTTAATATTAAGAACAATACTAATTGCTAACATTGTTCTAAAGTTAAATTTTTCAATATTTGAATTCACTTCCTAATGTTTCTCATAGGTTACACCTCTTAAAATCTCAAGTTAAGGTTCTAGCTTTTCAAGTTCCAATCAAAGCATATAGATCCCTATAGGAACAAGGCTATCTACCGTTTTTAACTTCAAAAGGGACATTAATCATTTACGAGTGAGAATGACACCAACAGAAAAAAGCGATTCAAGAAAGAACTGATACCTTGACTTTATGAATAATACTTCTTTTAAGGTTGTATGTGTTTGTTAGTAATCTAGATTTACTATGGTATTTTAACTGAGAAATGGTTTAAGTGGTTAGGTGAAATTGGTCTTATGCATTTTTGCCTTTTTTTACTTACATGGTCAGTAACTAATTAATTTAAACCATAATAGTTTTTTAATTACATGTAGTTGGTTTACATGGAATATATTATGACTTTACTGATGCTTGTAGATGTTTCATTACTTACATTTGTGTTTGTTTGGGGTTTGAATTTCGAGTTGGAATTTGAATAGTAAAAATTTTCAATTTTAAAGTTGTATGACGTGATATAAATAGGTGTTGATTTGATGTTTTAAATGTAAAATTAATTTTTAGTATAATATAAAAAATAAAAAATAGGTGTTTAATTGGATATTTTTTTTGGAAAATGGGATGAACAGTGGATTTAAAATCCAATCCCCCAAACAAACGCACCTTAAAGAAGATTGGTAATAATCATATAACATATCTTCTTTTTGTGGAATTTACTAAAATATTATTTTTTTGTCATCCGCATGTTTTAAATTTTTTGGAATAGAAGATGTCTGTTTTCCTATTTTACTTATGGTGCGTTTGGCAATTAGCAGATAGTTTTTAGCTGCTTATTCAATTAGTTGTTAGCTGTTAGTTGATTCAATTAGCTGGTTTGACTAGCTGATTCAATTAGCGGTTTGTATTAAAGTGTTTGATAAAATAACTGTTTGACATTAGCTGTTTATATATAAAATGACTATTAAGGACATTGATATGTTATTTTTTAAAATATTTAATTTTGTTCATTTTGGTTTGAAATTTATGAGAATTTTTGTTATTAATTATTGAAAATTATAAAAATATTATAAAATATTTATTTTTATTTTTATTATTTAGATTTGAGAAAATTATTTTTACTAAAAAATAATAATTTTTTATTAAAATTATGTAAAATATAAAATAATAAATCTTTCGTATATATATTTTTATTATGTTAAATTATTGTTTTAATATATATAAA